CCTCTGCATTTATCAGGGTTTGATTCCTGCAGTGGGTGGTTCAGAAAAAAAGAAAAAAAACAGAAAAAAACTTTAGGTAGTTCAGAAAAAAAAAAAAAAAACTTGCTTGTACAGACACTGGTACATGAGTCCCACCGTGGCAGAGACTCAGGCCTTCACAATGTAATATTTCCATAGGTAGCAGCGAATACACTGCAGCCAATTTCCATTGTGGAGATGGCACCCTTTGTTTCTTCTGTGTGAACAGTTTTCTGTTTAGAAAGTGTTCAGGTATTTCTAAAAAGTATTTGCAAACAATGTGATAAGCAACAACAAAATTCATAATCTGTTTAAATCACCACTGATCACTGGCATCATGAGAGCTAACAGACTGAAATGGTTGGGGCATTGAAAGAATATCAGATGACAGAGAAGTAAAAACTATACACGAGGGAGATGAATGGTCGTAGAGCATGAGGCAGACCAAGAGGACGATAGAGAGATAATATCCAATCAGACCTGCAAACACTTGGTGTCACTAGCTGGAAAGAGAAGGCCAACCAGAGAGATAAATGGAGGCGGGTGATATCTGCAGTAATGAACCTCAAGGGCTCAGAATGCTGAAGAAGAAGAAGAATTTGCAAACAATGTCAATGTTTTGCTGCAATCATCTTTTTTGTTGTTGCATTCTCCTAGCCACTGGTTTTCACATGAGGAGGCTACAGGCATTTGTGAAGTCTGTGGTGTGAGGCATATCTTCCACTGTTCCACACAACATGGTTTTCATTGGGATGCCAACTGGCTAGACCTGTGATCTCTCTACTGCATGTAGAGAGCATATCTATAGCACACATCCAGAATCCACATGGGAAAAGTCCAGAATTCTTGTTCTTGAATTTCTTGTACATATCACTGCAGAGTCTATTGTGTACAGTCTGCAATCCAAATATAATGGTCTCAATCATCTTCTGATTCAGTATTATCTGTTAACTGACCACCCTTGTAGCTTACTTTTTCAAGGAGCGAAACATTTTCAATTAACATAAACCAGCGCAAACGTTCAAACTGATTATCATAAAAACAAAGACACACACACAAAAAAGGAAGAGAAGAGGATAAACTGATAAAAGCGCACATAAGTATATTAATGAAGAAGATCAAAACAAAATGTCACATAAACACAGTAAATATAATATTAAAACTAGGTCAGAAGATTCACAAAGAAAAATGTACAAAATGGTTTAAATATTCACAACATTTATACAATTTGTATTTGTGCATATATCAACAAAAGAAACCTGTATTTGCTTAAAACTCCATTTGACGTTACTTTCTCCCAAAACTAAACTTTCTTTAGAAAGTATAAGCATATAAACTTTTTTCTTCTCTGTCTTCAACATGCTCCTTTAAAAGGGCGACTGACATGTTGTGTTGTGGTTTACAGCTAGGCTGCAATATATACATATTTCTGTCCCACACATCTGTTTTCAGGAAACTCTATTAGTCACCTTTGAGGACATGTTGAGGTGTGGTGCCTCCATCCCCCCCACCCAATGCTGCCCCCAGATGGAAATATACACTTACTGATCTGAACTGACAAGGTAGTTTCTTCTCTTTCATTCTGTAATAAAAATTGTCGTCCTAAATATTCACTACATTATTTCCATTCACCAAAAGATGCATTTTTTTAAAGCCAACACATTTCTCATATCTCGACTACTGTATTATCATCTATATTGGGTACAGACAGGTTCAGCCAGCTTTGTGTGATTCATTGATTAATTTTCATTACACTGCTTCACCTCATCCAAAGATGTAATGTGCTCATGAAAGCTCCTAGCTACGTTAACTTGCTGTTTGTGACTGAGATATTGTGACGCTGACTAAGTTCTACTTTTCGCTTGGTTTGATAACTAATCCAAAGATACACTTTCCTAAAGCTAAACACATTTCTCATATGCAGAATATTATATTATCTTCAATGTTGGGTATATACAGGATATCCTAGCCTGGTATGCTTTGCTGATCACCTGATATTCTCACAAATCATTCAAAGCAAACATAATTATCAATGATACAAATCTTGGTCTTCTTCCTTTCCTTCAAATTTGTTTTAATATCTAAATAAACAGTCCATAAAAATTTAAAAACAAATTATGCTGCTGTTTATTAATGGCCCAGCAGTTAGAATGGACACGGCTTCTGGTGACTTAATTTAAATCCTTAAGTGATGGAAAGTTTTCTACAAGGGGCAAAAATAAAAATACAAACCAGACTGTGGTGACTGCTCCCATGTGGGTTTTGGGGCTCCCTTTTAGAGAACAAAGAACAAATTAACCCCCTCCCCCCCCCCCCCCCCCCCCCCTTTCAACAAGCATGTTGTAGGAAGCGACTAATTAGTAGGGGTATTTCCGTCAAAGTCAGAGTGCATCAGTTTGACAGGCAAGGAACCAACAGTCTGCATACAAATATGCTAGATGTGAAAAACAAGTGTCTCAAAGATATGGATCAAGACTAAAGTCCAGAAGTGGACAAACAACCAGAACTTTCCACCAGAGTTTACAGATGGTGAACGCTAAGAAGAGGAGGAGAGGTCACAGCACTAGCCATGTGCCCTAAATCCTCAGGATCATGATACTCTGACCAAAACTGCCACACACGCCCTTCCCCTCCCCCATCAACATGGTGATTACAGGCAGTAAAAGTTATATGAGAACTCCTTGAGACTCCTAAATGTGTGGTCGACTTTTGTCTGTGAGTCAATGTTCAGTCCACAATTACAAAACATAATGCAGTTTTGATTTGGGCTGTCTCCTGGAAGTTCACTTTAGTCTTGATGATAACAATGTCTTCCACTGGTTTGTTCTTTTTTTTTTTTTTTGGCTGTTCTAAAAGGAGAGGCTAGCATGCTGTGCTGTTGTTTACCGCTAGGCTGTGATATCAGTACCTTTCGACCTAACAGCTAGGCTGTGATATCAGTACCTTTCGACCTAACACATCTGATTTCAGTAAACCCTTTTTACAACATGCTTGTTAAGGGGACACAGCAGGTATATACCCCCCCCCCCCTTTTTTTTTTCTAGTGGATTTATAAACCACACAGGGACTGACATAGTTTTTAATTCCCATGAGATGGATTGTTAAAACTGACCTCAGCATTCAGGTTTAACCAGCCTTCAATTGGAAATGCTGATGGAAGTGATGGAAGTGAAGACTACCAGTGTGGTCCATACAAGTAGGAATCAAGCACCACACACTCAATAAAGTAATGTAAACGAATTTTCTTTAAAAAAAAAAAAAAAACACCAATGGCACAACAGGAATATGCTGTTAGATTCATATTTTTATAGATCAATTGGCACTGTAGGTGGGGTGAGGGGTGGGGGGGGGGGGGGGGGGACCACGTTGACCTGGGTTAATCTTCCTCTTGTGTCCTACTGCTTATGGCTTAAAGCATTGCAGAGAGGACTCAGATAAAGTTTCCTGATGTATGCTAGCTGTACAGCTTGTTTTCATTCATGTCACACAGCATTTCTGTAGTGTCTGTTACTCCCTCCACCCATCTCTTGGTCAGCCTCTTGCCTTACAGCCTTGTTCTCATGTGCTGTAACAGCTGACTGAACTTTTTTCCATTCTGACCAGATGGCTTAACTATTTTCTTTCTTTCTCTTTCTATGAAATCAGATCAATTACACACCCCAAAAGGCCTTCACTTTTAATTAGTCTTTAAAAAATAAAACTTGAGTGTAAGCACAATTAAAATGATGAAAAGGATTAAACAGAATGAGTGGCAGTGTTGTAAAAAAAATGTCAAACATCAATCATGCACCATGATGAAAAGTAGCAAAACAATCCAGTAGGCAAATCAATCATATTTCACATGGACATGTGTACAAGTAAACTAACAACCCAGCTAACCCAAATGGCGTTATAAACAGGGGCCACTGCAAAGGGCACTGAAAACTAAACAAACACAAAGGAACCTCAATGTTTTTTTTTCTTTAAAAGGGTCAGGAAGAGGGGGGGGGGGGGGGGGGGGGGGGAGGGGGGATATAATGATCACCTGCCTATAGAATTTTCTTTTGCTTTTGCCCTTAAAAGGGTGGTTGACACATTAAGGTTTACAGCTAGGCTGGGATTTGTGTACATTTTGGCCTAATATTTCTGATTTAAGCAAACTCCTAATTAGTCACTTTTCATGCTTGTTATGCCCCCCCATTAAAAAAAATTCACCTGAAACTACAGAGGGATAGGACTGTCTTCATTCATTTTTGTTATTCAGAATTCCTGCTGTTTGTATGTTGATACTGACTTAAGCAAAATGTTGATTTGTATCCGTGTATTCTTTAAAATATGGCAATTGACAGAGGCTGGATCACAGAAAGTTTCACTCTTCTGAAACTAAAAAATTTCTGCCATTTTAAATTCCATAAAGGTTTGGAAAGTGTGGTGGTTCTGAGGCTGGGAAAAATGCAATGGTGAACACGGGATGCTCTTGGCATAGGGGTATTCACAGAATGAAAGTTAGGAATGACTTCATGATGGGCGGTGACGACATAAAGTTCTGCCAATAACTACTGCATGAAAATGATATGCAAGTGTCTTTCCTTTCCTTCATTCTTTTGTTAAGTACTCCATCATACTGTATATGATGTTCATTTAGTTTTAACTAGCCTAAAGTAGTTTCGACTAAAAATCAACAGCAGTACCGAAACACCACAACAGGCAACAGCAAACTGCAGAATAGAAATAACAATAGCATAATGGTGAGACGATCAGTCATCATGGATATATATAAAAACTAGTGTAACATGCCTACCCACATTTGACAACTTTGTTGCAGGGGGAGGGAACTACCATGTTTACAAATGACTTAAAACATCTGATGATACTGCCAACTAGATTGAGAACCAAAACAAAAACCTGTACACAGACAGCAGTTACGAGCAACCAAAGAACAGGCAACCTTTAAAGAACTGCTGTATCACATTCACAAAGAACGGATACCCTCTGAAGAACTGCTACATCACATCCACAAAGAACTCACAGGGGTTGCCCATGGCCATGCGGAAGGACTGCCGACTGCCGCTGATGTCTGAAGGGACGGATGATAAATTGGATAGAGGTGGGGCGCCTGGTGCAGAGGGGGCGCCCAATCTCCGTGTGTTTATTAAGCTTGCATCCGTGTCACTGCCGCTGCCCGACTTGCCAGATTTGTCTTTGTCCTTCTTGCTGCTGCCTGAAGCACTGCTTCCTGTAAATATAATTGTTAAAATGTTTTATTATTGGAGGAAAAAAGAAAAGAAATTTCTTGTGTTTTAACTGGCCACCTCATCCTGTAAAATATCAAAACCAATCAATTATAAGCAAGTCAAATAAATAAATGAGTGAAAATCAGCCAACCAAGGAACTAAAGGCTATGCTGAATCAATTGTCATCATCTGTAACGGCAAGGCCTTAAGAGAGATCTTGCAGTTCCTGAGTTTTTCAAGGTTTTAACGTCCGTTATGAACCCTGGTTGATAAGAATGCTGGGATCTCATTCGGGAGACCCAGGTTTGAATCTTCAGACAAAGGCAAAAATAAAATCCTCATATGTAGCCCGAGGTGAGAATACTAGTCTTAGGGTCCTGAATCCTCAAACTCAAAACCGTCTATGATCATCAAATGCCCTAAAGAGAGATCAACGCAAGCAGGAAAGACCAAGATGGAGGGAGGCGCTTCTCATCGAAGGATGTATGAAGCCGTGTCAATAAAGCTGGAAGGAAAAAATATAGGCAGACCATATACACATAAAGATTATAATGGGGAAAGCTGCACATCACAGCAAAAGATAGAATGACTTGTCATGAGTTGGTTGAGGGCCTATGCTCCATTGGGGAATAAAGAGCAGAAACTGAAGAAGAATTGAAGAAATAAAACAGAGACCCTTAACCATCAAACCAAGCCCTTTGTAAACTTGTTTAAGACTGGATTTTACATCCAGTTTTCAACAGGCTGAGGTAGCCAGTTTCAAGATATTTTTCTGTAGTCGCCTCTTAATGATATGCATTGAAGATTACAGTGCTTCTACTCTACTTTCTTATGGACAGCACCTGGGTGATAACAACTATAAAACAAAATTTAAAAAAAGTCAAATAAACAATTTCATAAACAACATATCTTGAGATGTTGACCCCCCCCCCCCCCCCCTGATTAGCTTGAAATAAATAAACATAACACTTGTCAAAAAACCTTCAAACCAAACCACCTATCCAATGACCTAACTATTCATCTCACCAAACCATCCATTCAATCAAGAACTATCCAAACAAACAAATCAACCATCTATCTATCACTCCAACTAATCATCCATCAAACCATAAACTATCCAACCAGCTATCTAACCATAAACCATCCAACCACTATCTATCCAACCATAAACTATCTACCAATAATCCATTCAACCACAATATATCAAACCACGACCGGCTTCAGCTGACGAGCCGTGCTGCTTACGTCACTGGGTCAGGCTAACGATGCGTTAACGCAGCGGTTCTTAAACTGGGTGCCCAGACACCCTGGGGTGACGCAAGCATATGCCAGGGGTGCCGCAGCAATAATCAACAAAAGTCGGCTAAAAATTTTGAAATTAAAAAAGGCATATAGATACTTAAAAGTTAAAATTTAAGTTGTCTTCCCTCGCGACTGTTGAAAATAGATTATTTCTTGTTTGAGAACCGCCGCGTTAACGCATCGCAACCATAAACCATCCAACCATCTATCTATCCATAAACTATCCAACCATAAACCATCCAACCATCAATCAATCAATCAGCTGCCGTCTACACAGTGAAGGTTGGCTGCGATGGATCTCCAACACGCCCTGTCTCTTGGCCTGGTTGTACACTCTCAGACTGCTGCCCATCCATCTCTTGATGTTGTCCTCCCACTTGTATCTTTGCCTACCTCTTGCTCTCTTGCTTTCAAACTTTCCCTTCGGTATGGTTTTTAAAAGTGTATTATGTCTTCTAATGTGGCCAAAGTATTTGAATTGTCTCTTTTTTATTTCTCTCAGTAATTCTCTTTCCATTTGGAGCCTTTCCAAAACCATCCAAATGTCTATCTAAACATAGATCATCCAACCACCATCTACCCAACCATAAACCAACTATCTATCCAACCATAAACCATATATATAAACCATCTAACCAACCATCTATCTATCTACTCAAACATCTATCTATACTATAAAACAGAAAATCCATGATATTAGCAGCAAGGTTTAAGCGCATTTCTGATAATTACCATCACAACCACTAGAGTTAAATCCCTTTGAGTATCCCTTTTCTTACATCCCTTGAAAAATTACTTTGACTAAACTAAATATTGCTGTCAGCTCCCTTGAAACTTAGAGTTTGCCATATTCTTTTAGCTAAGAGGCAAGGAATGAGGTGTCAGTATACAAAAAAAACCCAGATCTATTCAATGGATGTGCACGCCAAGTTCAAGTTCTCAATCAAGACCAAGGTCCAGAGGTGAATAAACAAACAGAACTTTCTGCCTATATAACAGACAATACGTACATGTCTGTCTGAAACATTGTTTAATACTGGTGTTAGTATTACTGGGAATAGTAAGACTCGGGTGCACTTAGGGACAATGATTATAAGAGGTGCTCACCACAAAGTGTTTAAAAAGGTGCAGCCCATCATCACAACAAAGTGTCTATTAGCACTGACCAACAAAAATATGCTTTAAAAAAATATGCCAAGACTGCGTTCCATCAGAAAAACTAAATTCCTGGTATTTGCATTCCTGTACAGAAGATTAAGTCTTATTTAATGGAGAGAAAAAAAGTCAAATGCAGAGGTTTTGAAAGGTTAGGGCAGAAAAGAGATGTTTACAGAAATTTTTAAAAAATACATCTTTTTTAAAAAAACAAGACTGGAGGGAGGGGAAAGTTGAAGGTAAGAACGCAAAAGGTGGACAAATATACAAGCAGGGGGACAATATAAAGAGATGGATCAACAGCATTCTGACATAGTGTACTACCAAGATAAGAAACAGAAAGTGTTTTGGAGATCCATTCTTCACGTCAACCTTTATTGTGGAGACGGTACCTGATTGACTGATATATATTAAATTATTTTAATGTTGATGTTAATCACTTTCTGATTAATTCATTTGTTCTGAGTACCTGTGTTTTGAGAATATCTATTCCGTATTAGCATCCCACTGTAACTGTTTGTTAAAGAAGGTTTTGAGCTCATTATTTCCACTTTGTCATTTATGACTGTGTTATTGTAAAGGTCAGAGTATGCCTTTATCTGTTCTATTCATTTAATCTTTGTGTTTGTGTTTAAAAACTATATTTATGATGCTATATTTGCATCAACAAGTCTTTATTTGCCGAAGAAAGCATTGACACCAAATATTTCCCTTTGTCATTTTAAAGTATATGAGCCAGGTCTTGGTCAGATACGACTGAGCTACTGTAAAACAGTAGACAGTACTACCTAATCCCTGTTAACTCGATCAGATATGACCGGGCTATCGTATAACAGTAGTCAGTACTGCCTGATCCCTGTTAACTCGATCAGATATGACCGGGCTATCGTATAACAGTAGTCAGTACTGCCTGATCCCTGTTAACTCGATCAGATATGACCGGGCTATCGTATAACAGTAGTCAGTACTGCCTGATCTCTGTTAACTCGATCAGATATGACCGGGCTATTATATAACAGTAGTCAGTACTGCCTGATCTCTGTTAACTCGATCAGATATGACCGGGCTATCGTATAACAGTAGTCAGTACTGCCTGATCCCTGTTAACTCGATCAGATATGACCGGGCTATTGTATAACAGTAGTCAGTACTGCCTGATCCCTGTTAACTTGATCAGATATGACCGGGCTTTCGTATAACAGTAGTCAGTACTGCCTGTTCTCTTGTTAACCTGAACAGGTATGGGCAGACAAGTGCATTAGGGAGGATACTAGCCTTATCCTAAAATTAAGAATTATAACCTGAAAGCTTAGTATTGTGACAGGGAGACTAGGCTCTTAGCCTTGTTGGCAGCTGGTCACTCACAGATTAATTAGTCAGTTCAAACATAATAATGTCAACTTAGTCAATCCTAGGTTCATCACTTTTCAATCAGTCAGTTACATATTCAATTCAAACTCAGTCAACCCTAGGTTAGTCACTAATAGATTTGTCACTTCTAATATAAGCACTTCCAATTTAGCCAACCTATGTTAGTCACAAATAGATAAGTTAGTTCTAACATAATCAGTTCTAACTCAGTCAACCCTAGGTTAGTCACAAATAGATAAGTTAGTTCTAACATAATCAGTTCTAACTCAGTCAACCCTAGGTTAGTCACAAATAGATAAGTTAGTTCTAACATAATCAGTTCTAACTCAGTCAACCCTAGGTTAGTCACAAATAGATAAGTTAGTTCTAACATAATCAGTTCTAACTCAGTCAACCCTAGGTTAGTCACAAATAGATAAGTTAGTTCTAACATAATCAGTTCTAACTAAGTCAACCCTAGGTAAGTCACAAATAGATAAGTTAGTTCTAACATAATCAGTTCTAACTCAGTCAACCCTAGGGTAGGTAAATCCTAGGTTAGCCACTCATAGATCAGTCAGTTCAAACCTAAATAATTCTAATTTAGTGAACTCTACGTTCGTCACTCGTAGATAAGTCGGTTATTAAATATTAACACAGTCATCTCTAAGTTAGTCACACGTTAATCAGTCAGGTTTAACATAATTCTAACTCAGTCAACCTTAGATTAGTCACTTATATATCACTTTTAACGTAATCAAAATTAATTTAGTCAACCCTAGGCCAGTCCCTCTGGGATCAGAAACTTCAAACATAATCTATTCTAACTCAGCCACAGCTTAGTTATTCACAAATTAGTCACTTAGATTCCAACTACAAATGCAAAGCAGGCTGCAATGTAACTATTCTGTGTGCTTCCTCTGAGGGTCTAATATGGGCAATATGGGACTTATGACAGCTAACAAAAACAATACTGAATCACACATAAATGTAAAAAACTACCACTAAGACTGGGATAAATGATTTCATGCAGACAACATAGAAAGCATGCCAGGTGGGTTAAGTACAACATCAAATAATTATAACATCACAACTCATTTCTCCATTCTACCTCCAAAAGTTAGATCAGGCGGGTTGCCTCCAGTGCAACATTACTTCATAAACGTTTTCTTTGAGCCTGTGCATTTAATTTGTA